ACAGCGAAGAAAGTAAAGGAGAAGTGTGAACTTGACGTCAGTGTTCGAACTGTACAAAGCTACACAAAATTGGACTTAAGTATGCTAAAATCAAGAAAAGAATTACACTAACGAGAAAACACAAGGAGGCAAGGGTGGGAAGAAAGATAGATAACAAACCATGCCGACTTCAAGAAAGTGATATTTACTGATGAAAAACATTTTAAGTTCCATGGACCTGACGGCTGGTGTACATAGTCGAGAAAACGTGAACCTGTTATTCTCAACAAGAGACAGATGGGAGGAGGAGGAGTCATGGTTTGGGGTATGGTATTTCCGAATGGAAACTTGTGGCTCGAGTGGTTAAAATGACGTCAAAATAGCTTGAGCTACAGAGAACTTTTGGAAAAGAGAGCCCTACCACTCATAGAAAAAGAAATGGGAAGTAATTTTATTTTGAAGCAAGATAACTGCAGCATCCATGTGGCCAAATCAGTGAAAAAGTGGATGTGTGAAGCAAATATAACTACTCTGGAATGGCCGGCAAGAAGTCCAGACTTAAATTTCATTGAAAGCATATGGGAAATGCTTGCAGAGCTTGTTTACGACGGGCCAGAAATAACCAGAGAGGCTGAACTGTGGCAGCGCATACAAGATGCTAAAAATAGACTGCTAGAAACACGAATAGACGTTATTATCAATATGTACGAACATTATGAAGATAAACTGATAGAAGATATTGAAAAAAGGGTGCTGCCATAAACTATTAGCATTGTTTCTGCAATGTCCGAAAAATACTGTCGCCTGTGTAATGTAAAAATTTGTAAAAAAAATAAAAATATTTCTAATTTGAATTCTGCTTTTCCATTTGTAGTATTGAACAGTTTTTAAATGTTATTGCCATTAAACTAAAACAGTACAGACTGCCTGTGCTACCTAAAACTTGAAAAAAATAAAGTGTCTGAAAAATAGTGTCGTCCCCCCCACGTAGTTTACTTAACTGTATCCAATAATAATGCATGCAATATTCGCATATTAGTATCGTATTATAAAATACAAACATAGCGAATATGCATCTTTTCCATTGTTTACATTTATAAGATGTTTAGCTGTTTTCTCGTTCGGTTGTTTATGGCTGTACGCGTTTACGCAACGAGTGTAGCGTTACTAACGATACTTTTATCTTTCGCTTTGACTTATTTAACTAGAAGATGGGATAAAGAGATAGAGGAAAAGAGGTTAGTCCATAGTAATTTGATCTCTCATAAAAGGAAGTCGCATGATACACAAGATACATGATAAAATCATTTTTTATAAGTGAAAATTTGGCGGGGTGGTATCACGATACGCGTGATCGCGCGTTATACGCATCTGTACGGTAAATGCTATGTCAATCGCCATCCCCTCATTTCTTGAACCCTGTTCCTTTTTTGCCCTTTCTTCAGTCCTCCCCATCATAAGTCTTTTCATTCTCTTTCACTTTCGTTCCCTGTAACCCCTTGTGTCCTAGTGGCTTTGTTGCCTTGCTTGGGGTGAAACGGTTCAAAAAATCCTCAGCTGTTTCAACCACAGAGTAAACTATTGCCATTTCAAGTTTCTGCTAAAAAGGATCTTGTTAAAAATGGAGGGGACGGGAGAAAATTATCCTGCAATGGCGTGGCAAACTACCAGTCGCTCGAGCTGGTGAAATGGTTTGTATGACACTCAGTGAAGATCAAACGTACTGATAACGGCCTGCGAGATGAGCAATGCTTCTGAAGCTGATGCAAAGGGGAAATCTGAATTGACAACAGTTAGTTCTTTGTTCCCTTTGTTTGCTTAACAAAACTGTGTCTGACAAAATAATGCCCGAGCGTCAAAATAATTGCCGAAGCTATTCGCGCCAATATTACTGAATGCACATCATCTGATTTGATTACAGTTTACATTTAGATTGTTGTATAAATCGTGAATTTACAGACACTACGTTCTGACAGTACCTTTTAATATGTGTGTGTATGTTGTGTGTGCACACGCGTGTGTCTAAGCAAAAGAAGACAATGATGACTTCTTAGTAATGGCAACTAATTTATTATCTTATTTTCTATATTGCATTTGTCTAAAAATAGTCTATTATATTTTTCTAAGATGTATATTTTATATATATATATATATATATATAAAAAACAGCTTAAAAGATTCTGAACATGAATTATTTCCGGTAAAACTATTCGTTAACTGAAATCATAGGTAAACTATATAGTAAAAGTATTTATTGACCTACCTATTGTTGCCTGGAGTTTTAGAAGTATTTGTAAATAGGCCAGTACATTTGTAGCTTAAAGACAAAAATAGTCATTGAAGAAAAGTTTCAAGTTACGTTGGCGTTGTTGAAGAAAGAAATGTTATCAGAAAAATTCGCATTTAATTTTTTTTTTTTAATTCTATTATAATTTTGACAATGCTTCCCTTAGCTCCTTAGCACGTGCGTATGTTACACCCTACCAATATTTCATAAATAATGGTCTATTTTGTTTTGATCGTGTGAAAAGAAAAAAAAGACATAAGAAACGCTACTTGGTTTCAGTGAGAAAAAGAAAGAAAGAAAGAAGGGAATATAAGCGAGGCGATAACATTCTATTGTATTTAACGTCTCTTTCAATGAAATGTAGAAAGTTATCAATTTCAATTATTTTTATTTGTACCCCCTTACTTCTTCAAATAACGCCCAGCCTTCATATTTATGATGTTTATTGCAATATTTTATTAAAGTTGTTAAGCTCAGGTATTTAATGATCCGTTAGGGGAAATTCTACGGATATTTTATTGTCGTAGAACTCGCCATGAGCTTATTAAATCATTAACTTAAGAATTAAGATTCATCAGAAAATTCAAACAAGAAAACTGTGAAATTTTAGTAAGCTATTGTCAATAGAAGCCGGATCTAAGTTAGGTTTGTTAATTTCATCACAAGCCTTATTGCTCAATGCCGAATATCAATCAATTAGGTTCGACTGAAAGTCGAGTTCATGGTTAAACATTGATCAGGTTTACACCCAAGTTTATATCTAAACATTCGGTCCGATTTTAGTAAGGAAATCGAACCGATACCTTTTTGGCGCCCACCTCTACAAGGATATCCCGAAGAGTACAAACGCCCGTATTACATTCACTTTGGAATCGCGCTGTGTTGATTTTTTATTATTTGATCCAAAGCAACGCGATAATGCCACTAAGACGCAGGGGGTTACTGGGAGTGGAAGAGAATGAGAAAACTTTAGTGAGGAGAAAGGACAATAAAAAAGAGGTTTCAGGAAGACAGAAGATGGCGATAATGCCACTAAGACGCAAGGGGTTACTGGGAGTGAAAGAGAATGAGAAGGCTTTAGAGAGGAGAAAGAACAATAAAAGAACGGGTTTCGGGAGTATAGTAATTGACGTTGTATTTAAAATGTTGAAGGTTGTAGGGAAGCAAGAAACCGGAAGTGAGTTACCAGTGGTGAGAAGTGCGAGAATGATACAAAAGTATTAGACTATAACTTCCGGTTACAACTAGCTATTTCAAGAGTAAACGATGAGACTTAAGAAACAATGTATTAGTATGCTTAAATTCACGCAGTCGAAGAAGAGGAGAGCTCATTAGAACAACTACAATATTTATAGAAAAGACATATCACAGCAGTGAGAAAGATACTGAAGTCGATATGCCATGTCAGGACCTATAACATTACAAACCGTTCTTTGAATTTTGTCGAGAATCTCAAGATATACAACCGGGGCACCAGACCAGATATGGCATCAATATTCAATGCAAGGACAAATGTGCAAGATGGATTCTGATGAGAAAATATTGTCTGGCTTGACTCAATGAATCAATCTTCTTAGCAGCAGACTTAGCAGTTGATTCAATATAATCACTCCACTTCAGGTAACCAAGAAAACATGAGCCCAAGAAGGCACGATAAGTTGCTCTTCTGTTGGGATCACACAGCGTACATGAAGTTGAATTCATGCGAAAATATGATGCACTGTGGGCGTGTACCTCCTTCCTAACCGGCAAACTGAATCATTGACAGTTTGTGAAGGTCCGGAGAACAATTGCTCTTTGACTGTTGAAAACTAAAATGATTTTCTACGATTTTACAGAGTAATGGTCAAGCGGAATTTACACGATCGAATCCTGTCTGTGTTGTTTATTGTCCGATTAAAAAAAAAGAATCTTTGTGATATTAAAACGACTTCAGTCAAACAAAAAATGAAAAGGCGACATTAAATTTGAATGATTTACATTATTCGGACTATTGTCCTCATCTTTGTTGTCATATTTATTACAACGTTTCGGCCGTTGTACGCTCCGGCCTTCTTCAGGTGGCTGGAATGTCGAACTGAACCGTTTATTTCGCTAACTGGGATAGATTGTTCTAGTTCCACGTGCCATGTTTAATGGCGGTTATTTATCAGTTATCTCCTGTTAACTTCCCTCTGAAAGTTCTCCACAGCCTTAACTGGGTATTGAACTCACACTCTTTGGGTCCTCAAGGACACATGGCAGAGTGGATAAAGGCGTTAGTTAGATCCAGTGACAGGACCCAAAGAGTTTGAGGTCAATACAGTAGGTCAGAATGAAAGTGCGCGTCATCGATATGGGCGCATTGTCTATGTGCAAAACAACTTCACCAGCGGCACTGAAATCCTTTCGGGTTTTCAATCCCAACCCCCAAACGAAGGAACTCGTATTTGCAATTACAAATCCGATAACATCTGATGGCGGGCTTCCGTTTTCTGAAAGAAGATTTTTTTTTTAACGTTTGCTCCTTCCGTTTCACGTTCCCCTTCGTGTTAATCCTGGGTTTGACAAGAAACTTTTCTGTAAGGCTTCGTTTCTATATCGTTCCAATGTCACTGACCCCTTCTCTGACCGAGGTTTTCAATCTGTTTCCCTCCCACATCCTCTATTTTTCTTCTTCATTTTTCTCCCTTCTTCACATTGGAAACTCTGACTTTTTACTTTGCAACCATCTGCGAATAGCGGCTCAGACGTGATGATCAAATTAGACTTTCAAACTCCTCTTCTTTCTTCTGTTTATTTTTTACCTTTCTCCCTTTCCCCCGCTTCTCGAGTCAATGATGTACTTGTATTTTTATAGTTTAAGCTTTTTTTTCCACGGCCTCCATGACATTTTGTCTATTTCTTAAGGACTGAAATGCACGTCCAATATTTAGACAAGAAACGGGATATTATTTGATGAGCAACTTCAGCTCGGTCCAATAAAAATGGCTGCAAGTCCGTCTCAACTAGAGACGTGCAAATTCTCATTGGGAACAAATAGAAACTCGTGCAACAGAAATGAAGACCGATGATCAACATGGAAATACAGGGCGTGGCAGAAATTCTACCCCACATAAATCTTTTAGAAATACCTGCCACATAATGATAATACATTAATGACAATGTAGTCTTCATTTATCTTACCATCACATAGGAGGTATTTCTAACGCACACCGTATTATATATATATATATATATATATATATATATATATGTATGTATGTATGTATGTATGTATATTACAATGAATCATTCATACAAAAATTGATTAATAAAGTTAACATATATTTTCGTTGTCCTCTTATTACTAAGAGAAAAAACAAGAACAACATCTATTCCATACCTGAAGATGTCTGTAGGAACAGACGAAAGCTTGTAGTAAAAAGAAGAACTAATACGGCAGAAATTTATAGAAACAAGGATCTTTTCATTCATAACGGATTCGGAGGTTTTTGTATATTATTTGAATTGTTTGCGACGATGGATTTCTCGCCAATTAAATCATTAACCTTTGCATTTGTTTTTTGTGTGAATAATTCATGAATATATATATATATATATATATATATATATATATATATATATATTAATTTAATTAGAAAACAGACAACCTTAAGAGTTCATTGATTATATTTTATTTCCCGATGAAGGTGGGTTTTTCTTGGTTAGACAGATCACATTTCCAAGCATAAACAATGGTTTTAAAATTACGTATTATTTTTATCCACTTTTTTACTCGTTTTGGAGGTTTTTTTTCTTTGGACTTTGAGCTTAGATTCTGGAGACGATTGTTTTCGTCTCAATTTCATGTTCTTAGTTCTTTCTTTTTTTTTCCTCATTTTTCCTTGGGTACTGGTTTGTTTTACTACAAGCCAGAAATACCCAAGGATTTTCCAACGTGTACTGTATATATATATATATATATATATATATATATATATATATATATATATATAAGTTTCATTAAAGACGACTGATAAGTTGCTGCGAATCAGCTTTTTTTTGTGTTCGTACAAATATTTGGACACAAAGTGTGTAAAAACTGTTCAAATAACCTCCTCCACATGTAAAAGAAGATAATATTGGTAGAAAAAGAAAAAAGACAACACTCAATTAACTACGAATACGGCCACAATGTGCTGACCTTGTTTGGTAAATAAAACATGCTTATAACCGTAGATACATACACACAACCCATACATTCATTTAAAAAGTAAAATAGAACCATCCTTGATAATGGATAAAAGTCAAACCTAAAGTGCTCGAAAGCAGAACATTTGGACAGTTTCTATATACACTGAGTTCCAAATAGAATTGACTTAAGGTTCTTAATATGACATAATTTCTGGGTTTCTGGGTTCTTTGAACCACATTTGGTTCTTTCGTTTAGGAACATGTCTTTATATGTAAAGCACAATGTAAACCTGGTAACTTCTCTTGAAAAGGACCTCCAATCAGTGGTTAACTGGGACAAGAAATGGCTTGTAAAATTTAACGCCTTCCAAACAAAATCGCTTTCATTAATTACCACAGGGAACCTTTTCTGTCTATGACCAGGGCTGCCACATATTGTGTCTTCTTCAATTATATTGAATCAATTGCTAGTACTACTGCTAGGAAAGTTAGTTCATTGTGTCGTACTAGACAATTTTTCTCATCTTCTTAATTCTTGTTATTTTATTGTTCCCTCTCTTTAATAATATTTTCTCATATTCTCTCACGCTCAGTAATCCCTTGCGTCATAGTGGATTTATTGCCTTGCCTGGGGTGTAATTATAAAAATAATTCTAATAAACAAAAAAAAAAGAGTAATTCTATTTTATCAATTTTATTATAAAAGCATGACGAAATTGCTTAAATAAGTAAAATAAAAGCTTGTTCTTTCAATTAATTTTATTATTAATGATAAAAATATTACGAAATTATTTGAATAAATGAAATAAAATTCGAAATTTTGCAGGTTATTTTTTCTGAAGATTTTAGGCGTAAAATTTGACCAAAGCAGACGATAATTTTGGGAGCCGATTTCTTAGAAGAAAACTTAGTCTTAGATTAAATATTTTTCAACAAAACAACATCGAAAAAATCTACCAGCCAAAAAGATGTTTTTCATCTTAAAAGTGCAATATATTTATTTTCTTTTTGTTAATGTAAGGTATTTTAAACAAGATATATCTGTTAATAAATTCAATTGACTTACACCTAAAAAGGAGTTTAAATTTCTGTAAAACGTAAAGCCGGAAGGTAAGTCATTTTAACTTTTTCTTTTAATACATTTACCATTAATATTAGAATTTTATATAAGCAGGGAATTGGTTTTTATCTAAGATACGTGTGTATTCTTTTTCGTACCGGGCATCAGCGTTTGATTCCAAATAAAACTAGGACAACGAACAGTGATTTTCAAGTCTTGCCATTTTAACGATTGGCACAACACGAAAATTTGGCTACAACATTCCGTTAAATTTCATTGCTAATAATCTTCTTTTTCTCTCTCTCTCTTTCCAGTGGAAATGGCCGCCGATAGTGTTCGTCATCTACCGACTGTTACTTGCTTTCTTCACTGTTGGTTCCCTGTCAGCGTTCATCGCCAAAAACATTTTCCTTCCGCATCACCTTATGGCCTACATGACAAGCTGGAGTTACATTCTTCTTGCCCTGCATTTTAATTTTTCGGCTATAATTGTTGTGTATCGATTCTGTCGAAGCATCTGTCTTCCTGATGAACGGGACCCAGAGGATAATGACACCTTGAAAAGCGACTCTTCTTCCTCCTGCTCGCCGTCCCATAGTTCTAACCATGTAATAAACAATTACAACGAACTCTGTCACATCGGAGATGCCATGAACAATTGCATCTTACCAGGAGAACAAAACACGGATAATTGTAACGACGGCTCGATTGACATCATTCAACATCCCACTTCGTTAATACTCAACTCTTCCAATTCTGACGGATTAACAGGTAGCAATGGGTGTACCCTTCCAGGTGATCACTTCTATACGACTATAAACAGAAGCCCTGATTCCAAAAAGAGGCTGACTTTTCGAATAAGACAAGACCAAACCCGATGGTACTTGAAGATCTCATGGGCTTTATTCGAGATAATTTCTTCATCTGCAATTATTGTGACTGTTCTATATTTTACAGCTATCTACCCACACATGAGCAGCAGGAACACGTTTGAAGATATTAGCGTTCATGGGATCAATAGTGTTTTGGTTATATTTGAGATGATCGTCTCTGCCTACCCTGTTCGCCTCCTGCACGCTCTGTACACAATCATTTTTGGACTGCTTTATATAATCTTCACGTTGATTTATTGGTCGCAGGCGCCATTGGAAAATATTATCTACCGTGGCATGTTGGATTGGAATCGACCGAAGAACGCCTTAATTCTGTCTTTCGTTCTTCTGTTTTTGGTTGTACCATTCTTACAGACATTTTTTTTCCTCCTCTATAAATGCCGGCTGCGTTGCTACCGCAGTCTTTATAACGAAAACTATACGACGTGATCCCAGCTACTGTCTAGTGGTTGAAATAGTTGCGTCACTGTACAAGGGGTTGAAATAGTTGCATCGGTGTTTGTGGGCGATGTTTGTATCAAGGAAAAGAAAAAGAAAATGGGATACTAATTTTCAAAACAACCAGACCCTTCTTAAATACAAGATTGGCGCATCAGAATCTTCCTCACTAACCCCCCTCTCCCCCCATATTCATAAATATATATGTTATCTAATTCCTAACGGTGACATTAATAGGCGCCTCTGCCCAGATTACTAAAAGAAAAAATATGACGAGATTTCGAATGTTCACTTTCTAAACAAACAGACGATCAGCTCTTTTAGGATGTGTTGACGCAACACAGTCTTCCATAATCCAAATCCTCACATGCGTGCCGTACTAAAACTTGTTAAATATATCGATAATAGTGTGTGTTGGACCTCTCTGAAGTTTAAATGAACGTTACTTATTTCCCAGATGTTGTTATTAGAACACGGGTATATATATATATATATATATATATATATATATATATATATATATATATATATATATATATCGGCATTTTGAATACGAATTTTAGGGACGATAGACCCCCCCCCAACTTGATAGTTTGGCGGAAACAATCTTTTTACCGTAAATAAACCACACACATGCACGCGCGCGCACACACACACACGTGACATTCGGCTTTTTACTGGGGTCAGATCCGTAAATGTCTGTATGACATGATCCATTTTTCATTAATAAGACTTTTCTGCCATCTCCTCCTCCACTCATTCCTATTTTTTTAATCTAATCTGAATATATTCAACATCTTTGCATTTTTTTTTTTTTTTTTTTTTTATTTATGTACAATTTATTAGTGTTTGTCTTTAAATAAATGAAAATATTGGATTTTTTTATTTTTTATTTTTTAAGCATTTCACCCCAAGCAAGGCGGGTGTGCCACTAGCACGCAAAAGGTTACATAGAGTGAGAGCAAGAGTAAAGAGGGGGGTGTTTGAGGAAAGGATATAGGGAAGGACGGGGATGAGGATCAAGGCATCAGAAGATGTCGACTGACATTACACATGAATATTTGAAGATTATAGTTATCAGGAAAGCAAGTAAGAGGAAAGGAGTTCTACTGTCGGGAAGTGCGAGAGAAGAAGCTATTGGAGTAGAAGAGGCGGTTACATTTAACTGTTTGAACAGTGAATGGGTGGGACCAAGATGCCAATCTAGTAGCACGCTTAAATTCATACAGTTTGTGAACCAGTGAAAATAGCTCATCAGTGCAGTTGCCATGGAAATGTAGAAAAGACAGAGGGAAGCCACGTCACGCCTGTGAGAAAGTGACTATAGATGAGATGCCAGATCAGAACCTATCATGTTGCATATCCGTGTCTGGATTTTGTCGAGGACCGCGAGATGAAAAGCGGAGGCAGCAGACCATGCGTTCAATTTGAAATTTTTGTTTGTGAATTAAATATTCTCAGAATTTTACATTTTTTTTTTTTTTTTGATATATCAAATATATTTTAATGCTTTTCCTTTTTTGTCATTATTTTGGCATAATTTTTCTTTTTTTTGAAAAAAAAAAAACCTTTAGCAAGACTTGAAACCAAATCCCATAGACCAAAATCTCGTTTCTCATTGATGACATCTTAACCAAAACTCTTTTAATGAGTATGTATTTTCGTCTCCACTTTTCTACTACTGCTTTTTCTTGATTGATGAGTTTTTACCGACTGCCTAATCCAACTGTGTTATGTATTTGGAATCAAGGTATGTTTTTGCAGAAGGACACACTTTCCGACCCAGGAATTGAACTCACAACCGCTGTTACCAAATCCAAAAAAGGAGTTATCAATATTTAAACTATTTATATTCGTACTATTGTTTTCATCCTACAAGACAATGGCCTGCAGAGTTCGGCAATCTACGTGGCACGCCAAGCAATTGCTAAAGGCACGCAGCTGCAGATGACATCACGAAGTCCGAACCAATAACTACTACAACGCAAAGAAGATATTTAGCTGTAATCTCCTACAGAAGGTAGCGACGGAGAGTGAGAAGAAAGGACTAAGCATAAACTACAAGAAGACAGAATGCATGGTCATCAGTAAGAGGATGAACTTAAAATGCGATTTGCAAGTCTGGAACACTAGAATCAAGCAGACGTGGAAGCTTAAATATCTGGGAAGCGTCTTGATAGATGATGGTAAGTGCGATACTGAGATCCATAGACGTATTGGGATGGCCAAGGACACATTCCAAAAGCTGGGCAGAGGATTGCGAGGATTTCTTTGGTAACAAAGAAAAGAATACTGAGCTGTTACGTGACATCTGTCCTTCTTTACGGCAGCGAATGTTGGATGATTTCCTCAAAGATGAAGAAGAGACTCGAGGCGACGGAGATGTGGTTCTACAGAAGGATGATAAGGATATCATGTACCGAGCGTGTGAGCAACGATGAGGTGTTAGGATGTAAACAAGGAGGAGGCTTATACTTAAGGCAGCTGAAGTTCCCGGGAAGGAGGGCCTGGAGAATCTGATATTCACGGGGGTTCAGGGACAGAGGGAAATGGAGAGCCATGAATGCCTACGTCCTGGTACATAAAAAGAAGAAATTTAATATATACTAAAGTATATATACTCTATATTACTATATAAAATATATTTTAGAAAGGTATATTGACTTTTACTTGTATAAAAATATGTATGCTGTTGTCATACTGAATGATTTTAAAACCTCAAGTCGGCACATAGCAAAAGGTTGCCGACTCCTGAGATAGGGTAACGTCCTGATTGACGAAAAGAGAAATGTAATAGGTGTCTTAACTTAGATGTTAATAATATGTTAGAGTCATACTCGATTAACGAGACGACAGTCATCATATAGATCAGGGGGTCGGCAACCTACGGCACGCGTGCCACACGAAGCGATTTCTAATGGCACGCAGCCTCAAATGACATCACGAAGTGCTAACCAATAACTACTGCAACGCAGAAGATACTTAGCTGTTTCAACTTTAATCTATACTAATGTATATATAAATATATATGACTATATAAAATATATTGTAGAACAGGTATATTGACCTTGACTTGTATAAAAATGCGTATGCTGTTGGCACATTGAATGATTTTAAAACCCTAATTCGGCACATAGCAAAAGATTACCGATTCCTGGTTTAGTTGACGGTAGTTGTTTGGTCTATCTGTAGATGGCATCAGGGATGGACCATCACCGTAAAGCAACATGGCGGATAGGCGATATTAAGAACTGACTGCATTTGCAATGGGCGGTAGGATTTTTGAGGTAAGTGGTTTGTTTCAGTAGTAAACAAAGTGAATAGTACTAAATAAAAATAAGAACTAGACGAGATATTCCGAGACATGAGCAGTTGCTTAAATAAAGTCTTCAGTTCAAAATTCGTTGTATGTTATCGATATACATCTGAGGAAGGCCAGGAAAAACAACGGCTGAAACGATAACACAAAAGATGAGGACAATAGACCAAATATAAATCGTGTAAATAATAACTCCTCAGAAATTACGGAATAGTTGTACATAAAGGAATAAACATAAAAATCAAAATTTTGTTAATTTTGAGAAAAGGCAGCAGATAGAAATGATGAAAATATAAGTCGGTTTGGTTTGGTTTGGTTTGGTTTACAGCATATCAACACCTTAATGGGTTATTTAATGCCGACAAGATTTTTATTGCTGGTAATATTTTTTTTTTCAAAAATATATTGTTGGTAATTTTTTTTTTTTAAATATATTTTTGGTAATATTTTTTTTCAAAAATGTATTGCTGGTAATATTTTTTAAAAAAATGTATTACGGGTAAGATCTTTTCAAAAAAGTATTACTGGTATTTAAACCTATTTTTTTAAAACTTTCACAGTGTTTTACCCCATTTTGTGGGGATTAACTATTTGTCAATAACTGGTACCCTGACAGGTGTTACCATCCCGGCTCAGGGTGGACCTGGGAACACCAGCAATTAAGAGGTGATTCCACGCTCTTCAAAATCTTCTGATTTTCTACCAGATGTAGTTTATCGTCATACCCAGGACGGAATATAAGTCGTAATTTAGAGCTAAAATACTCGGAGATTAGTGAGTTCGTTCCCCGTGGAATATTCGATTCTTTTTAACGCCGTCTCTGAGGATGAGTGACTAATAAATGTTTCAATGCGAATTTGGATTCTCAAGCGGTCCTCAGTCGCACGTAGACTCGGATATTATGAAGTCATTATTTATAACAAACATGCAATAAACTGATTTGTACTAATTTCTACTGCCCTTTTGACAGCACTAACGCCTATATATAGGGGCGCGCGGCCGAGTGGTTAGAACGTTCGCTTTCTGACCCGGGTTCGAATCTCACCACGTCAAGAAGTAGATTTCCTGATGTTATCGGAGGGGGGCGATCTCACTTTGGTAAGTGCCTGAGAAGCATATCACAGTTTGACCCAAGCTGTGTGAATAAAACTGGGCGGAAACTGATAGAACCCTCGGGAGCCATCGATAGCTGCGCTAACACAAAGTCGCTAGTCATCGTGACCGAGGGTTAGTGTGCTAGCCTTGTTCATATTGTTGATCACGCTAGATAACACACTCTCTCACAGAAACTGTAACTAAGGTCTGGTCAGCATAGGAACAAACACAAATGTGCCTGAGCGAGGGTATTCAATAGGGACTCGCTAGCCGCCCTAATAGACGAGTAGCCAGCTATTATGATTATTATTATTATTATTATATATAAACATTACATATATTGCATGTTTTAGAAGTTTTCCAAAAATTAATGTTTGTTTTTTTGTCTTTATGCTTTTTAAACAAAAATCTGAGTAAGCAAGACAATTTACAAAAGAAATTTAAATCGACAATCAACAAACATAAAAATTGAAAAAATTGAAAACAGGAAGAAAAAAGGTAATCGAACAAAAAAAAAGATTATGAAATCATTGTTTATAACATCAAAAATAATTTATTCTACTTTTTTTTTTTTTTA